ACTCCTAAAGCTCTTCTTCCTCCCTCAAAGCTTTGATGGCTCCAGATACTGCCAATGCTTGCCTAAAAAGAACTAAAATCTATTACATGGAGCCCTAGACAGTATATCAGAACCTCCAAATGATAAAAATGATGAGGCAGAATCAGTGCACATACTGCAGGCCATTTAGTAAAAAATGAAAAAGGAGGCAAACTATCAGAAGAAATCACAAGCAACACTATTTTCTAACTATTATAATTTGAACAATATAAAGATTTATGGCATTTTTATATAATCCAAATGTAAGCAATAGTTTTGACTATTTCTAGAATCTCAATCTTAAATCTGAAACTCTAAATTTAGCTTGTTTTAAAAAAAAAAAAAGAATGCACAAGCTAGACATGTCGTTTTCCAAATCCTCCTCCCCTAGTTTTAGTATGCTTTCAACATTACCTTTGTTTATACTTTAAGGAAAGTTCCTTCCAATAAGCAGTTTCCTCCTTTAAACTTGAAAAATCTGGTATATCTTCACCATCCATGATCAAGAAAGCCTGGGAAGTATTAAAGACAGACAAACTTACAAATCAAATAGAGAACACAGGAATCTAAGAAAAAGTATAAAATGTGGGATAACACTAAATCTGAGCATTGTGGAGTGAGTTAAACAGGAACAATTGTGAGAATATTAATTCTTTCATGTAACTCAGGCACCTAAATAAATCACTTCACTGCTCCCACTCTCAGGGACCACCGATACTGTGGATGAGATCAAAGTCCTTTGGTGCAAAGCCCTTTCAGTTGCAGCACTAGATGCTGGGTGACTCTGCCCCAGAGAGTCATGCTACATACACAGTTCCAGCAGTTGGTTTACGGCCAGTTGGCCTTCCAGAAATCAAGAGGCAAAAGCAAGCATACTGTCAGGAGATGCTGCTGCATGCCCCTCCCTATTGTACAACTGCTTTAAAACATCTGCTTGAAATGTTCTAATGCCACGTGACCTTACTAGATCAGTCACCACACTCCCAACTTATTATTAAAGTATTTCTGAAAACTTCCTGTTAATTATCTTTTAAGTCCATAGTTTCCTCCAAAAGTCCACTAATCTCTAACTTCAAGAATCTTTGGGTTCTTCAACAAGTCATTCAGAAAGGGGAGAGGGAATCTACTGCATTTCTACTGGACTGCCTAAAACTCCCAATTATCAGGCCAGATGGAATAGCAAAGATGTTAGGCCCACTCCACTCACACATTCATGCCTACCATTTTCTGCCACACCCTCCCAAACATCCCACTTTGTATTCCAGCATGTTGTTCAAAACTGTCTTAACACATCATGCTATTTTAGATCTAGATATTTTTTCTACCTGGCATGGCTCTCCCTTCTTTACATTTGGAAAGCTCCTATTTAAGCTTAAAACTTGTCTTTTCCAGAAACCCTTTCCGGCTCTCACCTGGATAGCATTAAAATTCCCTGAGCCTTTGGCAACCTCTATACCCCACAGATGCTTTCACTGATATAATTACCACATTGCAATGTGTTCACTTACACTTTGTGTCCCCTATTAAGCTGTTTATTATTCTTATTTATTTCTACCCTTTCACAATAATCAGTAATAATATTAAATAACATAACTGATTCAACCTAATCCATACTAGGCAGTAAGAACTTAAGACTAGCTTTAAAAATAAACTAATAAGGCTTGGCGCCTGTGGCTCAAGTGGCTAAGGCGCCAGCCACATACACCTAAGGTGGCAGGTTCGAATCCAGCCCGGGCCTG